TGAAATTTCAAATTCCTATGCATCTCATATTTGAAACCTACCGTCTGTAGATAAGAACTGAGACTCATGTATGAGGGATATTACTGCAGTAAGGAGACCGGACGGGCATCCTTCAAGGGTCCACGTAGCGGGTTAACGATGGCAAAAACCCGCATCGGTATGACATGGAATCCCAGAAATGTGACTCGGATCCAGCTGATAGCTCTCATCTGCCTCAATTTACAGCTCACCCGAAAATAATGCTCGAGCCCGAAAAGACGGCAATATCTTCTGCCCATGAGAGTGACGTTGGATTGTCCATCGGTCGCACATGCTGATGCTGATTGGTGGCTGGCAGGAACGTTTCGGGAAGGGGATGACTAAGATGATACCGGAAGCGGGAAAGTGCGGACGAGGGGAACCCGAGATTCTCCCCCGGCATTTCGTCACTCGGAAAGATTCCATTCGCAATCGCTGCTTCTGCTTTTCTGGTCGGGCCCAGACTTGAATGCAGTCCTAACTCTGTCTCCATTATGGGTCAGTTCGCAGCCAGTCCTGGCAATGCATTACACACGAGTCGCCTGGTCGGGTATAGTCCAGCCCTCCTAGCCGAAAAAGAAAAAAAAAGAAGAAAACTGCTTTTCCCCCCCGCAATTTCCCTAGTCTAGCTATGGGAGTTTTTAGTTATCGCCTCTAGACTCCGTCTTCTTGCATTGAGCTCATTCAACGTCACCACTCCAACTCGTTCCATCTACCCGTTTCCCTACGTCCATTGTTATTTGTTCGGCCAGCTAGAAAGAGTAGACGGTCCTTTTGTCCTTGGAACTGAGTAAATTGTAATTGAATGAACGCTTTGCAGCATCCATTCACTCGATGATCCGGTGGTGGCTGCGCGCGGCAGGCTCCAAGACCATCACATAATAATAAATACCTCGTTCCCGTAGCGCCGGGGCCACGAATTCCCACTCTGCATCACTAGCAGCTTTAAGCGTCTATCCCTGTACTCCAAACCACTCCAAACCTGCGTACCAACTCCCACTAGTGCCGTTGATGAGACATTAATTCATCATCCCCTGACGCGCTATCCGTGATACCGCCTCAAATCTCTGATCCTGTTTCCGAAGCTTGTGTTATTTGCTCAACTCTAGTTGGTGCATCCGTCATCCCTTCCGGGACCACCTCGTGCCCACATCTGGGGTTCGGAACTTTTCGGGCTTCGATTCGAGGCATTTGTCTTCCTTTTCCACTCTTCACGATAACCATCGCCGTCGAGACGCGGTCTGCTGCCCCGACATCTTCCGTGGAACGGTGGAGTAAACATTTCCAGCTGCGATTCCACACATTCAGGCGTATTGGATCTCCCATCATGAGTCCTGCGACAAACATTCATATACCCCCCGTTTCCCCCGCCGAACCTGGTCCTCTTGCTTCAGATTTCTTCCAACAGCAACTCGCAAAACAAAGAAATAATAACTATCATTCTACCTCACTAAGAAACATGGTTGCTGCTTCGGTGAATCGCACTGCTCTGCACCCTGGTGGTGTTCAGTATGTCTTGTCCTCTCCTTCTATCTACCCGTTCCTTTCTTAATATGTTGTCGCATTGCTCGGGGTGACCCTCAACCACTCGCGCAATGCGTCGCATATCATGCCATGACCTTGCCTGGTATAGATCGATGCTAACATGACCTTCCAGGCCGGGCAAGGGTCACACTGAGCTCGAGGAAGAGCTTCACGAACACGCCCACATTGACTATGACCGCGTTGCTATTGTAAGCTCACCTATGGCAATGTTTCTTGACCCTTGCTAACCAAGATAGATTGCCAACCCTGCTGTCCCTGCTCTCTACGAAGATGCTCTGGTCTACGAGACTGGTACCGCTATCACCTCCAGCGGTGCCCTGACTGCCTACTCTGGTGCTAAGACTGGTCGCTCTCCCTCTGACAAGCGTATCGTCAAGGAGGAGACCTCCGAGAACGATGTCTGGTGGGGACCTGTCAACAAGCCCATGACTCCTGATGTACGTGCTTTCCGTTGTTTTCTTTTTTCTTGGTTCTCCTGCAAGTGCAATATATCGCGCATGAGGATCATCCCTTGCATGGACCCGCAGCTGGCATGGACCCAAGCTTTTCTGGCAGCACAACGGGAGGAAAGAAATGCCTCATTATAGACTTTTGAGGCATTTTTAATCTTGCGACTGCTGTGCGACACAAAAGTTTGGGTTTTGTCCGGTTGTGTTCCTGAGAATGCTTGTTTCACCAGGTTGCGCCTGGTCGGGGTTCTCCAGATGACGTCATCCATGATCCGGACTGTTGCTAACGGCATCCCGATTTGCAGGTCTGGCGCATCAACCGTGAGCGTGCTGTCGACTACCTCAACACCCGTAACCGTATCTACGTTATCGATGGTTTCGCCGGCTGGGACGAGAGATACCGCATCAGCGTCCGTGTCGTCTGCGCCCGTGCCTACCATGCTCTCTTCATGCGCAACATGCTTATCCGCCCCTCCCAGGAGGAGCTGAAGCACTTCCACCCCGACTATGTTATCTACAACGCTGGTTCTTTCCCCGCCAACCGCTTCACTGAGGGTATGACCTCCGCCACCTCCGTTGCCATCAACTTCGCCGAGAAGGAGATGGTCATCCTGGGTACCGAGTACGCTGGTGAGATGAAGAAGGGTGTCTTCACCGTCCTCTTCTACGAGATGCCCGTCAAGCACAACGTCCTGACCCTCCACTCTTCGGCCAACGAGGGCAAGGATGGCGACGTGACCGTCTTCTTCGGTCTCTCGGGTACTGGCAAGACCACTCTGTCTGCCGACCCCAACCGTGCCCTGATCGGTGACGACGAGCACTGCTGGACCGACCGTGGTGTCTTCAACATCGAGGGTGGCTGCTACGCCAAGTGCATTGGCCTCTCCGCCGAGAAGGAGCCCGATATTTTCAACGCCATCCGCTTCGGATCCGTCCTCGAGAACGTTGTCTTCGACCCCATCTCCCGTGTTGTCAACTACGACGACTCTACCCTCACTGAGAACACCCGCTGTGCCTACCCCATTGAGTACATTGAGAACGCCAAGATCCCCTGCTTGTCCGACAAGCACCCCTCGAACATCATCCTCCTCACCTGCGACGCCCGTGGTGTCCTTCCCCCGATCTCCAAGCTCACCACCGAGCAGACCATGTTCCACTTCATCTCGGGTTACACCTCCAAGATGGCTGGTACTGAGGACGGTGTCACCGAGCCCCAGGCTACCTTCTCCTCCTGCTTCGCCCAGCCCTTCCTGGCCCTGCACCCCATGCGCTACGCTCGCATGCTGGCGGACAAGATCTCGCAGCACAAGGCTAACGCCTGGCTGCTCAACACCGGTTGGGTTGGTGCTGGCGCTACCACCGGTGGTAAGCGTTGCCCTCTCAAGTACACCCGTGCCATCCTGGACGCCATCCACAACGGCTCCCTCAACCAGGTTGAGTACGAGACCTACGATGTGTTCAACCTGCACGTTCCCAAGAGCTGCCCCGGTGTTCCTTCCGAGCTCCTCAACCCCAAGAACAGCTGGACCGCCTCGACAAACTTCTCCGACGAGGTCAACAAGCTTGCCAAGCTGTTCAACGACAACTTCGGCAAGTACGCTGACCAAGCGACGCCCGAGGTCATTGCGGCCGGTCCGGTGCCTCAGTAAATTGTTTCCCATTCTGTTTTTCCATTTCCTTTTATCTGCTTTTGATATCTTGCATGGCGTGCTGCGTTTCCAATCATGGGTCATTTGAATCTTCCACTACCATGTGTGTGGCCTACCCCGGCCGGCGGGGAAAATACCATTGGCATTTCCTTTTGGGTTTTGGCTTCTTTAGAAGTCGCGGTAACAATTAGAAATTGAATTCAAAATATACCTTCAATCACATCTATCACGTAAAATGAACTGTAAGAGAATCACCGTAGCAAGCCTTGAATCCACAGCGGGTCACGGGGATGAACAGGGGTCGATCTCTGACTCCACATGTGATCGCCATTTAGCGTCTTCGACTTGTTCTCCTTCTCTGCAACGCTGCTCTCCATCTGTATGCCATGTGCAACTGCTATAGCCAACAAGTCTAACAAATTTCACATCAAGGCGTTTTCTCAGCCAACCTCCTTCCATCTAAATCTTGAACATGCAAATTTGGTTGCAAGCCCACGTTGACTCTGTAGGCTTGCATCAACCGACGTACTTTAATCTCCGAAGAGGGACTTTGCAATGACTGGCCTACAATTAAGTTGCTTCTCTTAAACTTATTACATGCTACGTGCCGAGTCATCAGAACTGTGTTTTCACCTCTGGTCCTCCGATTTAGACAGACAGTGGGGGTGGGTAAATGCAAACATCAGATCGTCAACAAGCTAACGCCCTTACCTCTTTACGATATATATTCATAGGTTTCGCGACACCCTGTATCTCGCGCAGACAGATGCGGATGGCAGGGAACCGCCCATGATCATGTCAGACTGGTGCAGCTACTTTGCTTTCGGCGTAATCATCGATATTGTATTCGGCAGGCTTGCAATTTGCTCTGCAGCCAGCAGTCCCAATGTACGGTGTACGATATCTCGCGTTATCATCTGGTCAATAGCATGATGGCAGACGCGGCGAGTATGTCCATACGCGTCTTCAGTCGGTTGACCAAGGCCCGCCGTTGCTGTTCGGTCTCCTGTCTCGGTAGATGCCAATACTCAGATTCGGATTCCACTTCCGGCAGCCTATGCGCGAGTATCTACCTCGCAACTACCTCATGCATACGAGAAACTGGCGTACAAAATACGGAACGCATTTCCCACGGCAGTGATATCCGCAGCAGCCCATTGATGCAGCAATGTACGTACATTCAAGCCTGCAACAGGGAGAAGCTACGCATCTCAATCCGCACCGTCGGGTCGAGGAAGACGACACAATCAAATCATAGCCGGGTGCAGCGTCGGCACGGGCATTAATAGTATCCACAGCCTGCTGCATTGCCCTCGCCAAACACGTACCCCCCGGAACAATGGCTGCCCAACAAAGCAGAGTCAAAGACACATCAATCTCGGCGTTAGCTCGGCGAAGTACGCGCCATTCTCGCAAGGCACGCGTGCATCGGGCGACACCTAGCGCAGCTGGAGCTCCAGATGGCGTTGGCAAGTATCATGTGGAGAGCTACGACATGCGACGGCCAGCCATGACCGCCGCAATGATGGGGGCAGGGCACGCGGGGCAGGCATTGGGCGAACGAACGCGCAGAAATTCCAACTTTACGACCAGATCATCAGCAAGAACAAGGCCGGTCATTCAATTTCGGCCGCGTGGGCACACACAGCAGAAGCTAAACCGAGTCGGCTATTCCGCCGGATACAAGGAGCAATATAGGCCGCCAGATGAAGAGATGATGGCCTGCAGAGGACAATACTCCGATATGAGACGGGCATTCCAGCGAGAATCGGCTGTTTTCTTTGCAGCTCGCTTGTGGCAGGTAGTCCCCACAGACAGGATCGTAGTCTAAGCCCCAGTAGCTAATCCGCCTGGGGGCCTGGGCCTCCTGACAGGGTAACCAGCCAGTCAGCAGGTTGCTGATTACTCCTTGCTGGGTCCTGTCCCGGGAGAGTACCCGAGGGATAGAAGTGAAGCTCACCGCGCGCGACTACCGATACCCGCCTCACCCGCTCCGGGATCCCGAGATGTGCTGCCGCCAGGGGGGAGTGGTTGCCGCGAAGGTATCCGTCGCCCCAGTTCATCCACTATCGAAGATGCAGTATGGAGAAAGTTGAGTCTTATTGGGATAGTTGGGGATAGGGAGGACCCTTTTTGGAATTGTAATTCCGATACGACGTGTATTACTACTAACTAGCTAGGTTTGATGGGTCTGTTGTTGCAGGTAGATGTAGATTCCCAACAACTTGTTGACTCCTAGAGGCAATGAGCTAGGAGATCAGTGCTCCGGCATACAGCCAACAAACCCTTCCAACCGAGTCATCCACCTTGCCGGCTACTTGACTGGGACCCTGCGATTCGATCATAGTTGTGTAGTCATCACATTGTCACTGAAGTGAGGACGGAGGAGATCTTCTCCGGCTGACAGTGGCAGGCAGCACGGGGGAAGGGCCGAAAGTCGGAGGAATCGGGAGAAAGGAGATAATCCAGCATGTAGTAGGAGATCTGAATATGATTATTCCGGGGGGTGCATTATTGTTATTGTAAATGATGTTGTGAGTGATACCGTGTTTCTATTGCTGTTTCTCTACTAGTATTCTGAACGGTAGCTAATGAGTATCCTAGTGTTTGGTGAAGTCGAAAAAAAGAATATGTTATACGACCAGATATCTCCGAAGTGACAGACAGTACCTACCTTAGACTGATCGACGAAGACCAAGCTTTGGGGAAAAATAATAATATTATTATTCAGGATGTATTATTACTACCGACATTACTAACCCACTTGGCAAACTGGGGAAAGAGGAGATAGGAGATAACCTCGGGAAGGCGGCAAGAAGCAGCGCAAACCGGACCGTTCTCGTGGTTAGTCCCGATTGGGTTTAGTGTGGGTGTGGGGAGATTACGGTAATTACTTTATGTACGTATGATGGATGATTATTCCCCGCCATGACGTTTTGGTATTAGCTTGCTGTTTTGTATCTATTTCTTTTTTTTTTGTTGAATATTTGCAATACACGGCCTGTTTGGAAATAAATCATACTGTTATGAGAAGAGAGAGAGAGAGTTATCTATCAGTAGCGACAAGAATAACAACTTCATCATAGACACAGAATCATATGAATGGAACATCATCAGACGTGGCAACCCCGCATTTTCCAGCTGGCGGCATCGTGCAGCAACTACTCTGAATCATATACTAAATCCTCATCGATCGCTCGGGCCTTAAGTTTGGCATCGGCTAGAGAAGTGGGGATGGAAACAGTTGCCCAGTCTGGAGAAGATTATTCTCAACTGTCAGTCAAGTAATTGCTGGTCGGCTTCTCGGATAGAATGAATCAATGGTATACAAATACATCATCGAATCCCCGTCAATGCTACCTTGACTCATGCATCAAGTTATTATAAGTATCTCAGAATCAACCCACCCAAGATACTTGCTTTGCTTTGCTTGCTTGCTTCCAGTTGTACAACCTTCGCAACAAATTAATCCATTCACTGCACACACACACACACACACTCTCTCTCTCTCTCTCGCCTCCTCACTTCTTCCTTTCCCATCATCTGACTGTTCCAACTTGTTCTACTCCTCCTCAAAAACCGGTTCACCACTTCCCTACTCATTCTCGTCGGGCCTTTTCGTGACTTCGACCGGGTTCCCCTCATTGCCCAACTGTGCTTCCACGGTACGTTGAATCTCCCCTCCCGCCCTTTTCACGTCACGGTCGGTCATGCTGAGTGCCTGGCAAAGAAAATCTGTCTTTTCTTTGCTCCGCCAGGCACTTCGTATCCTTATGGCTAGATGGTCTTTTCTCCCTGCCCCCCCCACCCACCGCGTATCGTGTTATCTGTTGATTCGCGTTTCATCCTTCGTTCATCTGTCTTCCTCCTCTTAAATCCTTCGTTCGGCGCGTCTCATCCGCCCTCACTCCTCAAAAATCTCCGCATTAACCCTCGTTCACCTCTCTAGATCTGGTGTGAATCCTGCTTCCTCGTCAACATGGCCTCCCCCACCGCGGCCAAAGAGCCCCAGCCGGCCATGGATTTCCTCCATCACCCTTACACCCGCGCTGCTCTTCCCTTCGTGAACGGTGGCCTCGCTGGTATGACCGCCACGGTCGTGATCCAGCCCATCGACATGATCAAAGTCCGTCTGCAGCTCGCTGGTGAAGGTGTGCGCACCGGTCCTCGCCCGTCTGCCTTTGGCGTGGCCCGCGACATTATTGCCTCAGGCAAGGCCCTCGATCTGTACACCGGTCTGTCAGCTGGACTGCTACGCCAGGCCGTCTACACTACCGCCCGTCTGGGCTTCTTCGACACCTTCAGCAAGACTCTCAACAAGCGTGCCGAAGCCGCCAACCGCAGCGTCACCTTCGCCGAACGTGCCGGAGCCGGTCTCGCTGCCGGAGGTATTGCCGCCATGATTGGCAACCCGGCCGATCTGGCGCTGGTGCGTATGCAGTCCGACGGTCTCAAGCCTCCCGAGGCGCGGGCCAACTACCGCTCCGTCATGGACGCGCTCTTCCGCATCTCCAAGCACGAAGGTGTCCCAGCTCTGTGGGCGGGTGCTTTCCCCACCGTTATCCGTGCCATGGCGCTCAACGTCGGCCAGTTGACCTTCTTTGCCGAGTCCAAGGCGCAGCTGAAGAAGCATACTGGCCTGTCGACTCAGAACCAGACCTTTGCCGCGTCCGCTATTGCCGGATTCTTCGCCAGTTTCCTCTCCCTGCCTTTCGACTTTGTCAAGACCCGTCTGCAGAAGCAGCAGAAGGATCCCAAGACCGGTCAGCTCCCTTACAAGGGCGTCTTGGATTGTGCGCGCAAGGTCGTCCAGGAGGAGGGCTGGTTGCGGTTCTACCGCGGTTTCGGAACGTACTATGTGCGGATCGCTCCTCATGCGTTAGTGTCTCCACCTTTACTGTTAGTTAGTGCCGTTGGCTAACCCCAGACCCACAGGATGGTGACGCTTATCGTGGCCGATTATCTGAACTTGATTACCAAGTAGGGTGCAGCTGCTTGCCTCAACTACTTGACCTGACTTGACTTGATTTGATTACAACGTGCCGCTGCTTCTGTCGTTTGATGATTATTGCACAGGTGCGGATCTGGTTGCACTGTCTGGAACAGATGCAGGAGAAGATCGAAATGCCTTAATGATTGTGGATGGGATGGAGGATGGTGTTTCGATGGATGAATGGTTGTTGTTTTAATGGCTGTTTGTATTTATTATACCCGTGTTTTGCAGCTACCTAGTGATTTAAATAGAGATAGGCAATAAAAGTCTACTCTGATGGCAGAATCAATAGTATGTAACTAAATCACTCATCATACATAGAATCATACCCTTCCCCTTCTTCCTCTCCATCCAAATCAACTTCCTCAACATCGACCATCGACTCCGCCCTCTCCTGCTTAATCCTAGCAGCAGCAGCAGCCGCAGCAACAGACATCCCCCTCTCCCTCTTAACTCTAATCCTCTCCTCCCCATCATCATCACCACTCTCACCATCATCATCATCCCCATCATCAACCTCAACCGCACTCCCCCTCCTCCCACTCCTCTTCCTCTTCCCCCCACCCCCACCCCCCACCTCATCCTGATCACCATCACCATCCTGATCCTGACTCTCCCCCAACATCTCCCTCTCCCTCTCCCTCAACTCCGCCATCTCCGCCCTCTTCACCCGTCTCACCAACACAGGATCACTCCGCAGATCAAACTCCGTCAACTGCACCTCGCACACCGGACACTTGACGCTGCGCACGCGCTTCCTCGCTCTCCCTCCACCACCACCACCTCCTCCAGATCCAGAACCTGATCCAGATGATCCCCGCGGATCAGGCACCATCTGATTACTCCCGCCGATCATGGTGAATATCGCCTCGCGCTCGAAACTGTGTGGGCATTTCGTGCTGCTGACGGGGTCGCGGAAGGGGAGGAGGGTGAGGGGACATTTTAGGGAGATGCGTTCGGTTTGGATGGCGATTTCGTCGTCGTCATCATTATCTTCCGAGGCAGAGGGAGATGGTTGGGGGCGGGAGCGAGTGGGTTTTCTGGAATTGGTGGTGGTGGTAGTGGATGTGGTAGATGGATGGTGGTGGGATGGAGGTTGTGAATGGGGATGATGATCTTCGAGATGAGAGAACCATGTTGATGGGTGAGGTGGAGGAGGGATCTCGTCGCCGATGTGTTTCGCTTCGTGGATGATTTTGTAGAAGCCGATGTAGGAGTTGTTGGTTGTGTAGCTGCGCCACAAGCAGTGTTAGTAACTTTGCAAGATATGGTATTATGGAGATGGGGGGGAAATACCGTCTCGTCAAACTCATCCCATTATACTCCTCCATCTTGCCCTGTAATTCTCCCTCGAACTGCGCCAGGAACGGCACCGCACCCTCTTCATCCTCATCTACATCCACACCCTCCTCTTCCCCACCCTCTTCTTCCTCCTCACTACCATCCTCCTCATCACCCCTCACCCTCCTCCTCCTCCTCCTCAACTGCACCCCCCTCTGACTCCTCCTCACCCCCCGAACCCTCATCCGCTCAACAACGCCCCCCTCCAACCCCGCAATAACCCGTCCAACTTCCTCCCCCCTAACCTCCTTATCAATAACCCCTCGGATCGTCTCCTCCAGGATCTTCGTCGTCGCTTGCACTCGCTCTTCGAACTCTTCTATCCCACCCTCCTCTTCCTCCTCCTCTTCCTCACTTCCATCCTCCTCCCCCTCTCCATTATTATATCCGAAGGTATGAGAGCGTAGATTTCTTTTCCTCTCCTTGGCCTTCTTACTCCGTTCCTTCGCATCCGTTAACCGCTCGTTGATCTCCCCCGCCGCATCGGTGAGTTTCTCCTGCGCGTGCTGGAGATGTGTTTTCAGGGTTGAGGAGGTGTGTGTTGCGAGGAGGGCGGAGAGGGCGGGTGCGGTGGTGGGTTGGTGCGATAGGGTTGTTAGGGTGCTGGTCGGGGGTTCGTAGGGGGGGAGAGGGGGGGTTGAGTCTCGGTCTCGTTCTCGGTCTCTTCTTCGGGGGGTGTTGGTGGGTCGTTTGGGCATTTTGGTTTCTTTTCGCTGAGTGGTAGTGAGGGGTGTGGTGTGGTGAGTGTAGTTCAAGTGGGTATGGGTGTGGGTGGTGGGTATAGGCAAGGAGGACAGTAAAGATATGAAGAAGGGGGGGTATAAGGTGTGGGTTTCTTTGTTGTATGTTCTTTGATGCTAAAGATTGGCTGATGGATAAAGATAAGTTGAAAGACGCGACGCGATGCGATGCGTGGCGCTAGACTGTTTTGGGAAGTATGGTCTTAAGAGGGTTTCTTTATCTTATCGGTGTCATTGCAACTACGTACTTATTTGGAGTATGGAGTACTCCGTAGTTATATGATAGTTAATTTGAAGTAAATACATTTCATGTCCATTACATCTATTTACCCTCATCTAATACTATGTATCCATCACACCTTGTAGAAGCAAAACGCATGATAAAAACCTGTCCTGTTAGCGTACACCCTCTCCAGCTGCAGTAAAGGAATACTCACTGACTGCCTCCTGCTCCTCCGGCGTCATCGTCAACTCGCCCGTCGTGCGATCTCTCACGCCCATCCGCTCGCTCAACGGTCCCAGCTCTGGATCGTCCTTCTCGTCCCGCCACACCTCCATGAACGGCTTGCGGTACTGCAACTCCAGATTGTACTCCTCCGTCAACCTGCTTCATTAGTATCGTAATACATAGTTCGTGGTCATGGGATGGACTCACGCTCGGAACGCCTCCCACGGCACCACATACTCCGGAATCTCGCCCACCGCTTCCTCCATAAAGTAGCTGTACTTCCATCCATACGGCGGCCTGAAGATGCCATCCTCCGGCGTATCTCCAGGGAATTTCACCCGATAGATCGAGTTCCCCCATTCTGCCTTGGCCTCCTCCTCTACCTCACCATCTTCCGGCTCAGCATCCTGCTTCGCCGCCTCGCGGTCCTTGCGCTTGGCATTGAACTCGGCCACGCGCGCACTGATAATGTCCGAGTTGGGACACACGCCAATAAACCGACCACCCTTCTTCAAACACCCCGCGACATTGCGCAGCATCTGTCGGGCCTTCTCTTCACTCTCAAACGCATAATGAATGGCAAACATAGACGCCACCACATCAAACCCACCCCCACCCCATCGCGACGCCATCATCGACCCTCCCGGTCCAACATTCGGATCCACTCCCACCTGCTGAACAATATCAATATCTCCCAACCACTCCCCAAAGCAATCCTTCGACCTGAACTCGCCATGAAACAAGGGCGGGCCACCCCTCCGCCCACCACCACGCGGTCCCCTGCCCGAACGCATCCCCGCATACCGCTCGCGCGCCTGTATAATCGACACCTCCGCCGGATCCAATCCCACGTACAGATCCACCGGCTGCGGCGCAAGCTGCCACTTGCCCAGATCACCACCCTTACCACATCCCAAATCAATCACCAACAACCGCTTCTCCTCCATCGGCGGCGGCCCAGTTCCATCCGCCCAATCCTTCGTCCCAATCGCCCGCGCCACAAACTCCTCATCCGGCGAGAACTTCTGAATCAACGTACTCTTCACCCAATTGTTGAAACTGCGTAGCCCCTTAATCTTGCTCTCCGTCTTGCGCCACTCCCGCCCCCGCTGCGGAACTGCATTGTAATGCTGTCTCACGATATCCGTCACGCCCCGGCTCTGCGAGTTGCGCATCGCATCTTCTTCCAGCGCGCGCTCCCGCTCCTCCTGTCGCCGCCGCAGCGTCTGCGGGTCCACGAGACCTCGCCGCGCTCCGCCACCGGGTCGTTTCCGTTGACGCGCTTGGACTTCCGGCGACGGAGACCGCGGAGGAAGGGGTGGTGAGGGGGATCGGGGCTGTGGTGGTGCGCGTGCTGCTGTCTCGTCGCCATCGCGGCGCGAGTAAGCCGAGGGAGGTGCCTGCCCGCGTTTCCGGAGCTTCTGGTGTCGTTCTTCGAGTCGCTTACGCTTTGAAATGGGACGGTCGTTCGCTTGGTCGGCAGGTGGTTGCTGCTCCGATGTCTCGTCCTCGAGCTTGCGCTTGTGGCTATCGGCCGCAGGAGAGCTCTGCTCGGCGTAGACATCGGCAGAGCCAGAGCGAGAGTAGTCACCCATTTTGTTTATCTTGTGTTTGCGACGTGATTGGGAGGAAGGAGGTGTTGGGATAGGTGGCTGCTTCTGCTGCTGTTGCTGTTGCTGCTGTTGCTCCGGTTGTTGAGAAGGATCGGTAGCGGTGGTTTGGGGAAGAGGAAGAGATTCGCTCGTAGAAATCACAGTAGGATCATGAACCTAATGAAGAAACCCAATGAACATCCACAATCAGCGTCAGATATCCTGCAATGGAGAAAGAAAGATGGAACACTGAAAAGAGAATGTCGCGAGACAATCAGACGCGCAGGAGCATTTTCTTTTCGGAGTCTTTTATTTGCGGGAAGAATAAGTAATCACCGCCTCCGCCGAGCGTAAGCGCCACTTTAGTTCGCAGTGGATGAGAGACTGCAGGACTCCACTTATTCTCTCCACTGCAGAGAACTCTGTAATGAATCTTAAAGGAATGACTAACTCACCGGTTTCGCTTCATCCGTCTGAGATGGTGTTGCTTCGATGGAAGCAGAAGCTGGCGCCGGTTCAGCAGCAACCACAGGCTGCTCCTCCCAGCGGTCTCGGGCGGGATCGTACATGCTGATGCTGGGCCGTTGGCCTGTGCGCTGTTCCTCTTCAGAGGCCATGATCAAAGTGAGACGGAAGTGAAAGGGATAAATTATATGATACCTCCCATGAAAGGGGTAGTAGACTTAGTAGCAGGGATAAAGCAAGTTGAAGTCAGAACGGAATCCAAGCTGCTTTAAGTTGAGTTTCCTTGGTTGAAACCCCTGCCTTGAACCGTGTTTCCTGCCTGGCCGGATGCGGCCTGTGAATGGAGTGAAACAGTAACGGTAGATGCCTACCATCATTAATTACTACATGACATCCTACTATTCAGTGTGGTGTGACACAGTTCTGTATTGGGATTTATCTATCTATCTATCTCTTTGTGAAGAGGAGACGATATTGTGGAATATGTGTTGTGAAACAGTCTAATGGACCTGTTCCTCCCAGTCTATCTAGCGGTTCTTGTCCTTCCCCGGGGGGAAACTCAATGTCGAAGTGTCTTACGATTGTGGAAACGAGTAGTCGCATCTCCATCATCGCGAATGCCTTTCCTGCACAGGCATATGTGCCGCTTGAGAATGCGTTGAGTGCTTCTTTGTGGATGACTAGCTCTGGCTGCGTGGACCATCTTTCTGGGATGAATTCGTCTGGACGGGGGAAGTTGCGCGGGTCTAGACGTAAACGATGTCAGCTACTATCTTCAGGGAAAAGGTCTATGGCCTACCTCGTTGAATCGTATACGTCGGCACAGACACTATCATCCCTGGAGGTATATACACCCCCGCCGTTCGAAGCCCTTCCGGCCCTGTCTCACGCTGCAATCCGCTCAACACAGCTGGACACAAACGCAGACTCTCATTGATACACCCCTCCAGGTACGGCTTCTTCACCAACGCCGCATGACACAGCTCCTCCCCAGCTGGCACAGCAGAGTCTATCTCCTCCTGCAGCCGGCGCAGCTTCTCCGGATGTCGTGCCAGGAGATAGAACAAAGCATTGAGGGTACTGGCAGCCGTGTCGCTGCCAGCCGTAATAGCGAGCTCTGAATCGCGAACAAGATCCTCATCAACGCCACCTATAGACCGGTCTCCCTCCGAGCTTGACTCCTCGATTAAAAAGCTGAAGAGATCCCGACGATCAGTTTCGACCTGAACCACATCAGCCTAAACCATCCACAACTGATACGAGACAGTAAATGCAACAATACCCTACTCCTCTCCTCCACACACTGCGCACACCACTCCAACCACCTATCCGTAAACCGCCTCACACCCACCATCCCTCGCATAAATATAACCAGCCAGATCGAGCTCAACAAGGCGCTCGCCCCTCGCCCTATCATTCTCATCATCTGCAACATCTTCGGCGGCTCCCCATGCAGCATATTGAACGATTTCCCAAACGCAAATATCCCCATCGAGTCCCATGCAAACCCATCAATTAGCGCTGTGGTCTCCTGTGCTTGCGATGATCGGGATTCAATAACCTGGACTATATCTTTGCAGTGCTCTAGGAGATATGGTTCGTAGCCGGCAAGTGCTAGTCATATCACTCAGCTACTCGATCTGTCAGATATGTGTGTGAGACATACCCTTCGACGTAAACCCCCGATCCCATAACCTCCTCCTCTTCGAATGAAACGCCTTATCCCTCGCCATCTGCAATGATTGATGCGGGTAATGTAGATCGTAGAACGGTCCCTTGACGCATGTCGTACCCACACCATATATATCTTTTATCGCAGATGGATCGTTGATCGAGATCTCCCTAGGTTCTATCTAGTCCGTCAGATACCGTACAAATCACACGAGAAACGAAGGTAGTGAAGAATACTAATCCGAACAACATCCCCATACACCCCATGCAACTCCTTCACTTTAAGGTACCATTTCGCATCCACCACTGTATTTCTGAAATCCCACAACGCTGTGACCCTTGCCAACTTCGGACCTGGAAACCCGCCCAGCGCATGGAAGAAATATCGATAGATCGCTATAGAAGCTAGCAGCGAGGAGTGGAAGGTTAGTATTGCTAGTCCGATCCATTGGGATATCTCTTTATATCCGAGGATGAAGAGGGCTAGTAAGCCGAGGAACGGCCAGATGATGAGGCAGTTGGCGAGGAAGACGACATGCTTTTCGAGGTCGGCGTGGATGAAGTAGGTTAGATGGGCGGTGATGCCGAGAATGGCGGAGATGAGGGCTGTTGGGAGGAGGGGTGGAGTCATTGTGTTGTGTTTGGGAGGATGTGGTGGATGATCTGTAGTGTAGGGGCGTGTATGAGGGATGAGTATAGTATAGGGGAGGTCAGAAACCCTGGTTGTTGAATTGCAAATTAGGTATGGAGAGACCATGGCAGGTCTGACAGTTCATGCATGAGCTCTGTTTGTTAGCTTCAGGGCAGTAAGCATAGACACAATATACTAAGCATGCGAGCATGTACCACTCCACAGAGCTTGTACATAGACAACGAACACGAATCACACTGTCGCGAAAATGGCTGGGTGGGAGGAATAATGGCTAGGGTGAGCGCAGCGCCAGCACTACCCTAATATCGGGCAGTAATGTTGGTGAATAGTATACTCCAGCTGATGGTGGTCCGAACTGTAACATGGTTCATGCACGTACCCCTCTGTGGCTTGCTCGATGCTACCACAACCTGCTCGGACTATATCTATGGCCTTACTTCGTCCGAAGCAGGCTGTACGGTTCTCCAGGGTCAATGTAAGTGTCAAAGCTGGTGGGAACATCGACACACCAGTCCATAGCTCAATGAATCAACCGAACTCAACGTATAAATGTTGATATATGCTGTTTTGATCTACCGTGTATGTATGGCACAAATTAAACCCAGAACGTGTCCTAAGGGGAATGATCCTTCGACCCTCATACGAGAAGTGAAACTGTATACCTCAAAATAAGAAAAGGCTACGTCTGCTGGCTCTTCAAATTCATTTTCTCGTTCCGTCCCCAGATAGCCAACCAGTCCTGGACTGAAGCACTCGCCGACTTGAGCTCCTTGAAACAAGCATTTCGCACTCTCTCGCTCTGAATCACAGCAAGCGCCTTGCGAATATTGCGCGGTGAGCTGGTCTCCAAAGCGCTGGCGACCCAATACCCTTCGGGAGCTTCCAGCGCGAGAATAATTGGAAAGGAGAGCTCTCGATTTCGCAGGTCTTCGGCAAGCGCCCCTTTGGCCTTGGCATATTCGGATGAGTAGACATTTTTGCAGTCATTCTGCAGCTGCGAGCACCACCTATCTCAGGGTCAGCTTTTGGTTCCTGCTAGACATGGTAGATTTGTAAGGAATTAAACGAGGCATACGCAAGAGTAGTCATCGTCCCGTCCATCGATTGGTCCTCCATCACCAATTGTCCCAGCAGCCGGAATAACGCCCCAGTTTTCAATGACGCCATCTTACGATAGGCTGAAACTCGCTCCTCAGGAACAGTCGAAAGGCTACCCAGTCCATCCCGTCGCCAGATTAGTGACAGGTCTTGGCCTTCGAGAATTTCTTCCAGATTCTGTAGCAGGAACTTGGCCAGCTTGGGGAACTTTTGCACGGTCTTGTTGAGAATCTGGGTGACTCGGTAGTAAGCGCGATTTGCTGTCTCTGAAGGGCCATATATCCGGTGAGCTGCTGGCTTGCCTTTGCGATAGTCGCTATTGTCAGTTATCTGCTTGATGTTAGAGTGTTTTTATATAGATTCAAGGTATACGTACATCGTCAACTAGCATCAGACACAGATGGATTGCATCCATTATCTCCAGAACCATCTTATATTTGGCCGGATCCTCATCCTTGAGCCTCGGAGACAGCTTCTGTACGAATGGCTCCCAGTGATACTTCCCATAGATCTGACGGATGTAGGCATATGGGCACTCGAACGATGTCACCGTCTCCGGTTTCTTCTTGCCAATCAGGAAAGCTTTGGAATTTGGCCACAAGGGACCAATTCTATCAAGGACGAGATAGAAAATTAGAGGGGCAATGCCTAGGGTTGCCACCAGAGGGATGGGAATGGAGGCAACGTCCGGAAGTGCCGCCATGATTCGGTCCTCCCTGAGTGGGACGAAGTGCAAGGATGAGAAAGTTAACGGATGACAGCGCGGTACCCCGATGAGCTCGCAAAGGGACGCTGTCCTGTCTATATATGTATGCTATGGGTAGGATACTTCAGCCGTACACTCATCATCAAGAGCTCAGGGTCCCCTCTGGGTAAGCTGTTGCTTCGCACAAGTTACACCATTTCCTTTTTAGTGCGGTCGAGCCGGCCAGAATGGTTGTTGCCTGACTCTCGCTCTTGAGAGAAGCTGACAGTTGGGTATGGCGACATGCCTCTAGCGGCACGACAGGAGATACAGCCTTTGAAACCTGGTGCACTCCCCTTGGCTGACTTGCAGGTCTTTGAACGGCTTGAGAATGGCACACCGGTGACACATGATTACCGAGACTCCTGATGGTCCTACCTGGTGCGGACATCAGTCCACTCATAGGGAATGACAGACCTTCATGGCATATCGTCAGCGGAACAGTACCAGGGCGCCGTAGCACTGGGTGACCGCGAGTCATCTCACTATATAAGCACGCTCATGTCACGTAAAACGCAAATGACCCAGATCCTGACGGCAACAAAATCGCTACAAGCATTGAATCGTGTCTTCGTATCGCTTCAATGGATGGGTTCGACCATTCTACTGCTCCACCAGAATATAACGAGCTAAAATGGCTCGCCGATATTTTCGTCATCGGAATGGCTGTTGGCTGGGTTGCTCACTATGTGGAGATGATTCACATATCGTTCAAGGACCAAACATACTGCATGACCATCGGGGGCCTTTGCATCAATTTTGCCTGGGAAATCATATTCTGCACAATGTATCCTGCCAAAGGGTTTGTCGAGCGGGTTGCCTTTCTCATGGGCATTTCTCTCGATCTTGGGGTTATTTACGCGGGAATCAAGAATGCCCCAAATGAGTGGCACCACTCTGCAATGGTGAGGGACCATATGCCCCTCGTCTTCGCAGCGACGACAATTTGTTGTCTGAGCGGTCACATGGCTCTTACTTCCCAGGTTGGTCCCGCACAAGCCTATACGTGGGGGGCAATTGCATGCCAGCTCTTTATCAGCATAGGGAATGTGTTTCAATTGTTGAGTCGGGGAAACACACGAGGGGCGTCATGGACGCTATGGTAAGCGTTGGTTTGATCTGTTTAGGCTGTTTGCTGTGCTAAGTAATCACTAGGATCTCCAGGTTTTTTGGATCAACATCAGCCATTGGCTTTGCTCTTGTTCGATATATTCGCTGGTGGGAGGCTTTTTCTTGGTTGAACTGCCCGCTTGTGTTATGGTCCGTGGTCATGTTCTTTCTGTTTGAAATTCTGTATGGAGCGTTATTCTATTCTGTCAAGCGACAAGAAGAAAGATCCCAGTGTGGAATCAAGCACAAGGAGAGGTAGATACTTACCTGAGTTATTGTGCGTTGTATATGCATCAGACAAGTATGAGCTGCGGGAAGATTCTATATCACCGGGATAAGTTGATAGCCAGGAACGGCATGGAGATAGATGAGTGTGTAACACAACAGCGATTTATACTGACGGAATGGCGGAGAAAGTTCACGGTGTTGTACCACTCTTTGTGGTGCTCTCATGAGAACGGAGTTTCTGCTTGTCATGTAATAGTAAATATGTTTGGGCCAACAAAGACCATCACCCAACGATAGAATAACGCAGTGGATATACTGTATTCACATATATTGCTGTCCTCGGGTAGAAATAGAGGTAAAGCATACTACTGTTTTGCCACTTTTGATTGCAAGTAGACGATGGCATGATGAACAGCCACGCTTGTGACACAACAACTACTGGTCAAGCGCATGTACCACGGGGCTGGCCTGCATAAGCCCGAAGTAGCTTGACTACGCAGTTATGCCACAATGCCAGTGCTGGTTGTCACTTGAGGTCCATTCGCTCCAGCAGTGAGAATAGCAAACACTTGGCTTGCCGTACAGTTTGAAATCCATCTGCCTCAGGCTTGATATAAAACCAGTCAACCAAAGAGACACAATATATATACCATACGCAGGACTTATCTTCAATTAGGCTTTGTATCTGGCGTGATTCGCAAGCATGGCCAATGCCCAGCAACCCTCCTTTCGCGTCCTTATTGTGGGCGGTTCTGTCGCAGGCCTCACCCTTGCGCACTGTCTCGAACGCGCCAATATCGAGTACCTCATACTCGAAAAAGGAGAAGATGTTGCCCCGCAAGTTGGTGCCTCGATAGGTATCATGCCAAATGGCGGACGGATCCTCGAGCAACTGGGCCTATTTGGGGAGATTGAGCGTGTGATCGAGCCGTTGCATCAGGCGAATATCAGCTATCCAGATGGGTTCTGCTTTAGTAACGTCTATCCTAAGGTTCTTGGCGACAGGTATGTCAACAGTCTCTGAATTATCCTGCGGACAGAAGAAGATGGAGGGTGTTGTGACTAAGGGTATAGGTTCGGATACCCGGTTGCATTCTTGGACCGGCAGAAATTCCTGCAGATTGCGTATGAAGGGCTTAGAAAGAAGCAGAACGTTCTCACTCGAAAAAGGGTAGTCGGCGTGCGACAGACGGAACATGGAACTGCTGTTTCTGTGGCTGATGGAACAGAGTATGAGGCCGATCTCGTGGTTGGTGCTGATGGAGTACATAGTCGGGTGAGAAGTGAAATTTGGAAGATGGCGGAGGAGAATCGGCCTGCATCGGTTTCGACACGTGAAAGAAGAAGTATATTTCTACAAAGTCTCATCTTCTTTGTGCTGGGTGCAATGAGAACTAATAGAAGCAGGCATGACTGTTGAATATGTCTGCGTTTTCGGGATCTCATCAGCCATCCCAGGGCTCGAGATAAGCGAACAGATCAACGGGATTTTCGACCATCTATCCATTCTAACAATCCACGGCAGACATGGTCGGGTGTTCTGGTTCGTGATCCAGAAGTTGGATAGGAAGTACGTCTATCCTGATGTCCCGCGATTCTCAGACGAGGATGCCGTACAGCTCTTCGATCTGGTCAAACACGTGCGGTTCTGGAAAAACATCTGCGTGGGGGACTTGTGGAAGAACAGAGAGGTGTCCTCGATGACAGCGCTGGAGGAGGGAGTGTTCGAGACATGGCACCATAATAGGATGGTTTTGATTGGAGATAGCGTTCACAAGGTACGTCGCTAGGAAATTGAAGTGAGATCGTTGGGCTTACTCAGTTGCAACCAGATGACGCCCAACTTTGGCCAGGGAGCCAATTCTGCCATCGAGGATGCTGCCGCGCTCTCCTCCCTTCTACATGATCTCGTCAACGCCCGCGGAGTTTGCAAGCCATCAAATGTCCAGATTCAGCATCTCCTCAAGCAGTATCGGGAGACTCGATACACTCGCATGGTAGGCATGTGTCGCACCGCGGCTTCAGTCTCTCGAATTCAGGCCCGAGATGGCATCCTCAACACCGTCTTTGGACGATATTGGGCACCATATGCTGGCAACCTGCCTGCTGACCTGGCATCAAAAGTAATGGCAGATGCAGAGGTTGTTACTTTTCTGCCTTTGCCAGGCCGCTCAGGACCGGGCTGGGAGATGTACAAGCGGAAGGGGAAGAGAGGGCAGGTGCAATGGGTGTTTATAATCCTCACCTTACTTACGATTGGTGGATTGAGCATCTGGCTCCAAAGCAATGCGTTGAGTAGATGATAACTTCTGCTCTCCGAATTTTCTTTAATTTAGTATGATGTATTCTAAGTTATCGAAGCGGAGGGAAAGGCTCGCTATAGCATAACTAATGTAGTAATGAGGATATCGAGAAGATAGATATGAGAATGCCCGAACGCCACGCTGCATTAACAACCAAATGAGGAGTATCATGTGCAGAAACACAATATAATGAGAGAGTATCACTTCGAAGCCGGCTTCTTTCTAGGCGAACCGACATTCAAAACCTGTCGCATGCGGCGTAACTTGGCCCACCATTCCCGGTCACTGGCCTTTTTGACCTCGGGATTGACATCGTCCGCCACAAGCTCATCCGTGGATGGTACCTCGGAGACAGCACGACTGTCTCCCGAGATGGTCGAACGATTCAGTCGACGATGGCGCACATTGAGCGCCTGGCCCAGCAGCTCCCAGCCACAACGTAGGCCTTCTGATTTCTCGGTGGCCCGTCCCGTTCCGCTCTGAGCCTTTCCGTTCACCCAAGGACAATAGTCCATGTGCTCATTCAACACTTCCAATGACTCGTAGAGAGCTTCATCGCCGTTGGGCTTTGGTTTGTACATCCACAGGCCCAATCTCCGGAAACACACGCTACAGCCGACCAGACCAGCTGTCCCGTCGGGGACTGAGTCCCAACCGAAGAATGCTAGTATGAAAGCGTTCTTTAAAACAGATGGCTCGGGCTCAGAGTTCTGCGCGTTCTCTTTCCCATCTTCACCCTCAGTATTGCTCTCAATGCTCTCCGTGCGCGTACTTTCTTCGGACCCGTTGAAGCTTGTTGGAAGTATCTTAATTAGCATGTCGAGATCGAAGGACTGAGGCGTTTGGATGACGTCTGCGGCCGGCAATTGATCGGCCATCTTCACGAGGTTCGAGTATCGTTTTTCCAGGCTGGATATAGCTATTTCGGGGTTTGCTAGCGGCAATCGATGGATAGTAGCTGTAACAGTCAGCTCCCGAATGGCAACCACAAGTATCAAAGAACCCACCATCACAGCCCTTGTTCCTCCACGGACAAGTCTCCCCATGCCCCTTGACCAGCCTTTCCGCGTACTCGTCCACAAGTTTGGCTCCTGATCTCCATTAGGCACACGAAGCAGACACGGCAATTGACAAACTTACGAACTTCCTTCCTCTCCTGCACCTTTTCGGCATCAAACCCATCCAACTCATCCAGCTCATCCGGGAGCTTGACCACAACCGACCCACCACAGTTCCCAGCACATGTTACCCGGGCCACATCTGTACATATCCAGCCGCGCTTAGCCCACTCCACCTCACTAATTGCTGACGGTTTGGGTGCCCATCGGTCGACGCGACGAAAGGTTTCCAATCGCTCGAGGAAACGTTCGCGATCCCAAGGAACAAAGCTGGGCCGCGAGGTTGACGATGACGACGAATCTCTGGAGCTAGGGCGTGCGACCTTTAGAAGTGAGTTTCGTGCAAGTGAGAAGCCGGGCGCATCTAGACGGGCTTTTTTGTTCGATGCGTCTGGAATGGTTGCAGGCGCTTCGGCGGTAGCTGATTTTGTGGACTCGGAGGTTGTAGGTTTGGTTAGAGACTCGAGAACCCGATGAAACTTGCGCTTCTTCGTTTCAACGGCGTAGGACATTTTCCAGCACGTGGAAGTAATGGTGTTGTGCAGTTGAAGTGGTCTTTGAGATAAGGGAGTCTGGATCTTGGGGATGGCCTCGGAGCTGGTGGCGCTAGACCCAAAATGGAGCTATCGTGTTCATGCCTGAGGCAACGAGAGGGGTGCTCGACCTGCAGGTAAATCGCCATGAACTACAGTGTACTATTATGTGAATTTGTTTGCTAACATTATATCTGAGCAACAACAGATAGCTTTATTAACATCGTTACAGTTCTATGGATATGTTCCCAAAGGGGCATTGACCCACAGGACAGGGCTGATAGTATCCATTGGATTGGATCTCTATATCTATAAGTAAGGGCCTCCTCAGCAAAGAAGAACTAAGGGGGCCTTGCAGGCAGCAGAGACAACGCAGTTCTGGTAGATGCCTAACTGCAGGGTTGTTCCTATAACTTATTTAGGTCATTGTCTGTCCACACCTCAATCCTTTTTTTAAACTTATACTTGTCATCAAACATTATTGATCAAGACTATTGTGGTTTTTTAACTGGCCAGAATCGTGCAACTCATTAATCTGTGACTACTTGTTCTGATCCTTCAAAATCTTCCGGACTTACTCGCGTATCTATGGTTTCCACCGGCCCTAGATAATCAGATCAGCTAAGTGACAGTAGAAGGTATCACCGACAGAGCGCTAAGAAGCTATACTTACTCTTGGCCATGCTGACAGTTGGTCACATAGTTCAACCTGCAAATGGCTCTGAACAATGAGCTACCCCTTCTTTCAGCCGTTCAGCGTGCGCTGGCGATTCCCGAGGTTTTAAGCCACATTTTCGAGTGCCTCTATCATCACCGCCGGTCCACGTGTAGTTGGGGTGGGCGTTCACTTCTTTCTTGCGCCCTCGTCAGCAAGTTATGGTTCTCGGAGGCAATCCGTTGGCTCTGGCACAACCCCAGACCTCTTTATTACCGGGAAAAATGCTTTGATGATGTTCTGGACGTGCTTGGCAAAATCCCAGAAGCACGCCGGCATATCTATGCAAGATACATTGAGTGCGCTTCTCTACTACTAGACCATAACCGCAAACCCGATGGTCTGGACAGTGTTCCGTTCCCAAGATTACGTTACGTAGATATCTTCATGAGGAAAATGGAGTTTCCTGATCTCGAAGACATTAAATTCCAGGATAATCGCGTTTCGTCCATTCGGTACGCCTCGACTTGTTACTCAGACACCGACGCCGAGGAGCACGCCACGGCTTGTTTTCAGAAGCTCCTTACTCCTCTTCTGGTATGTGATCCCATTACATTGGAGCCGATACCTCTTCTAATCTCATCAGTCACGTTTTAATCATCTGAAAGAGTGGGTTATAGTCTCGGGTAGCAATAGAGACACAAAGGAGTGCTTCAGATTCACCCCAGGCATCGATGGGCAGGGCTGGGAAGGGTTCAATCGTACCTATATAGGACCATTGTCTGACTGGGGGAATGTTATGCAGAAATGTTATCCGCGCAGGTACTGAATACAGTGAAGATCCCGACAAGCTCTGTTGTTTATTTGGGCACCGAAAGATATTGGACTGAAGCGAATGTGTGCTGTGTAGAGACGATCTCTCACCAGCAGACCATAGAAGCTCTTCCCGCAGTTACCCTGCTTCGCTCGTACAGAAAGCAGAGGCATTACGACGACGATGACATTTTCCTTCGCCTCAATCAAGCCCTTTTGTTACTACTGTAGCGTTCGATAGATATCCAAGAGGGCAAGTAACCTTATTCTTATATGGCTCACGTTAGTCCCCAACCGAACAAGATCCTAGATTGTACAGAAGGTGGACTTCATCGTAGCTGAACTGACTTGTGCATTCATCAGCAGGATATACAGAAGGTCTGATAATCAGTTCATGGAAAACGATCAATAAACAACTAAGAGTAAACAATGCCAGATCCAATATGATCTTATGTACTATACATAGAAGTCGAATGCTACCCTACTCAACTTCATAGCATGAGGCTCATATGCGGGACTGCAAACTTACAACTGCGATCTAGAAACAGTGGGCAATTGAATTTGTACAAGTCAGTCCACTGTAGACCAAGGCTCGAATGATGCTTCAACGAGAGACTGTAATGCCTCAACTAGAGTTGAATTTGCCTCCAGACTGCGAAATTCGTATCCCACCACAAGCCACAATCCGTTAGCTTCTTTTCAGCCCTAGTCTCAGCTTAGCTAACCCAGAAACAAACGGCTATAAAAGCGTCGCTTATCCTCCACCAAGATGGACCATATTATACTCTTCTATACACCCCATCGCAGATATTCGTTTAGTTCCTACATCTCTCTTTCAGGGTCTGTCTACTCTAAGCAACACCAGCCCCCTGCAACCCCCACCCCCACCCCCACAATGTCATCCCCAACCATCTACCTCATCACCGGGGCCAGCAGAGGTACACACCACCATTCCTGATCCCACCCTCATGTTCATCTCACCCACAAAACTACCTAGGAATCGGCCTCTCCCTCACCCAAACCCTCCTCCTCCGCCCAAACACCACCGTAATCGCCACCATGCGCAACCCCACCACCAACTCTCTCTATACTAAACCCCCACTAACATCCCCAACTTCCACCCTTATCCTCCTCCCCCTCGACATCCAATCCACCACCTCAATCAGCAACGCCATCGAAACTCTCAAAGCAACCCACAATATCACGCACATCGACACCGTGATTTCCAACGCAGGCTACTACAACGACGCCACCCACCGCGTCGACAACATCCCCCTCTCCACCGTGCAGTTGCACTTCGATGTGAACACACTTGGCGTAATCCGCCTGTTTCAGGGAGTATATGACCTGCTGAAGAAGAGCACGAAGCCGGTGTTTGTCACCGTTAGTAGCTTTCTGGGGAGTATCGGCGGTCTCGAGGAGGAGGTTTTCCCCGGCGCAGCGTATGGGGTTAGCAAGGCTGCTGGGAATTGGGTGACGAGAAAGATGCATGTTGAGAATGAGGGGATGGTTTGTTTTATGGTTCATCCGGGGTGAGATCATTATCTTTGCTTTGAGGTAGTTTGGGGTACTAATGTGTGGTGTGTAGGTTCGTGAAGACTGAGATGGGGAATTCGTGTGCGAAGAGTATCGGGTTAGAGGAGGCTTTTACAGAGCCGAGGGAGTGTGCGGAGGCTTTGGTGAAGTTGGTGAGTGTATTTTCCTTTGTGTGAGTCTGATATATTGGGGCGTGATACTGAGTGGAGTAGATTGAAAGCGCCACGAGAGAAACAGTTGGAGGCCGGTTCATTAGTTGGAGGGGTGACGAGGTTCCTTTCTGATTGGTAGGTATACTAGTATATGAAGCTGCTACAATGCTGCATGCTGCGCTGTTTGGTAGAGTGCCATATTGAATTTCATTATCATACGAAATGTTGAGCTTAGTCTCTATCTGTCGCACAAAAAGCCCTATCATCCTCCACCCAAGTCTCTAGATATACACATACTAGTATACTTCCATTCCCGCATAAGCACCCTCGGATATCCAACATTCCGTATGTACACCACACCCCATATAACCCCATAACCAACCAATCAATCCCATAACATCATATCCTAAACTCCGAATCCTCACCGGAGTTTAAATCCCTTAACCCCGACATATCTCACACACCACGCATAGCAAGAAGCAGGAAAATACTATATAAACCCATAACATTATCCCACAACACCAGACCTCAACCACAGACCCAACTACCAATAAACCGACACTACAATCTCCAATCAATCAATCAACATGCCCCTGATCTTCCTAACCGGCGGCAGCGGCTATCTCGGCCAAGCCATAACGACCCACGCCCTCTCCAAGAACTACACCATCCACTCCCTCTCACGCAGCCCCGAAAGCGACGCCAAAATTACCTCTCTCGGTGCAATCCCCATCCGCGGCGACCTCACCACCCTCTCCGTGCTCCTTGAACAAAGCCAAAAGGCAGATATAGTCATCCACCTAGCGGACCCAATGGCAGGAAACTACTCTCTCCCGTACGAAGAACGCATCCGCATCGACGACGAAGCAGTCACTGCCATCGCCGAGGGATTAGCTGGAAGCGACAAGCCGCTTGTAGTGACCTCCGGATCATTGGTTGTTGCTGCTACGGGGAAGGAGACGGACGAGGAGTCCGCGTTATGGGAGGAAGGGAAGGCGCTGAATGAGCGGATTGTTTCTGAGAGGAAGAATCTGAGGTGGGTGCGGGAGAAAGGGGTGAAGGTTATTGTGATTCGGCTGCCGCCCTTTGTGTATGGACGGGGAGGGAGTGGGGTGGGGTTGTTTATGGGGATGTTTTGGAATGGTGGCGATGGAGGGAAGAAGGAGGTGAAGGTTATTCGGGAGGCGGAGGGGGTGGTTACATCCGCGGTGCATGTTGAGGATGCGGCCGAGTTGTATTTGCTTGCTGCGGAAAGGGCTGGCGCTGGGGACGTGTTCAATGGGTGTTCGGAGTGGGGGGTGACGTTTGGGGAGTTGGGGAGGGCAATGGCGGATGTTTTGGGGGTTGGGGTTGAGGTTGTGGGGTTTGAGGAGGCGAAGAGGGTGTGGGGGGAGTTCTTTGCGAGGTTTTTGAGTACGGAGAATAGGGCTTCTGGGGGGAAGGCGATGAGGGTGCTGGGATGGGTGCCGAAGAAGGTTGGGATCGTGGAGGAGGTGAGGTATGGGTCGTATGTTGGGGTGGCGGAGAGGTTGAGGAGTGGTGCTGCTTGAGGGTGTGCTTACAAGATGGGTTGTGTGTAGACTTGGTGGTTGTGTAGATGGGTTGCTTGCTATCATGTTTGACAACGAGCATATTGTCAGAAGTAGGCGAAATATGGAAGATCTGGTTTGCTTGCTATGGGCATGGTAAGCACTTAGCAGACGTGGCATAGTTCTTGTGCGCAGCTGGCACAGTATTGTATGTCCTCTGATAGATCTAAGCCACCTGGTCTTCACGATAAGGAATAATCTTCACCGGGACAATCAATCCGTAGTCTGCCTCATCCGGTGGGGACGGAACCACCGTTGATGCATGCTGCCCACTAGTCTCCAGTTCATCCCAGTATGTCCGCAGAACATTCCCGAGTGTAGTACTCACAACAACCTCGACAGAATTGCGTCCCCTTCGGATCAACTGTCCAATGTCCCACTTTGCCCATGTGATTTCTCCTGGGGGCAGCACGTGCCCATTCACGGTGACCCGCGCCGTGTGCACAATTGGCCCAAGGTCGATTATTGCGCCAGACACCGTGCCATTGTTAGCCTCTGGAGGCCAGTCGAATGTTGTCGAGTAGTACCCAATTCCAGAAACATTTGTCAGTGATGCTGAAACCTGGTTCCATGGCAATAGATTTGGAAGCGCAAAAGTGTGGTTAGTGCGCGTCGGCCTCGACTCAACGTTGTAGAAGTCCGAAGGCGCCGTCCATGACTCGACTATCAACGTCCAGTTCCCAGGCGTAAATGCAGGCGTTAGCATTGGGGCTAGTGTCACGGTCTTTTCGTTTGAAAGGTAGACGTCGCGAGACTCCTGATCAAAAGATCTAAGAACGGCGAGATGTGTCGTATTACTGGTTGCCCAAAGAACTCCGTCTGTTGTATTTTGCAAGTGGAGGCTTGGCTGGGTGTCCTTGTGGAAGCCGATAATCACGGACTGGTTTCCGGCCAGCGTAAGAGGAATTGTAACATGGGTCTCAGACTTCTGGTAGATAGACAAGGCGATGATATCGCCTGACCAGGCATCGTACAAGAAGGGTGCTCCCGTTGTCTCAAAAGATATACTTCCTGAAGAGATTCCACCTCCATATGGGACCCCGGCTGCATCATTGTAAATATAGACGTAGTCCGTAAGCGTCTTTGTGTCATGCCTCCAGGTGGTGTACCAGGTGCGGTTCGCGCCCACAGATGTACGCGGCAGGATGTTGAGAGATTTGAGTGTTGCCGCCAGGTTCTCGTACGGCACAGTATGGACGTTATGCAAAGAAGTTAGGTTTTTAATCGTACTGACAGCTTGTCTCGCAGCTTTAGGATTGTACCCGCTGAAACTCTCGGGCAGTCCACCGGAAAAAATAATCGGGAGCTTTGAATGAGCATACTCGACAAGTTTAGCAACTCCAGACGCTGTAAGAGTTTCGTTTGCTCGCACCACGAGCGCTCTGAAGGCCTGTTGATCAGGTGCAAAAGTGCCGTTGGAAACATATGCTCCGGGTAGGACAAAGTTGTCGGGACTAAGGTATTCATATATATAGCCTACCATTAAGACCTTAGCTTAACGTCGTCAACACTTCGGTCCAAAAGAGAGCTCCTTACCTGCACTCTGTAAATCAACGGGACTGTAAACAGTTGGAAGGGTCTTGTAGGAGGTGGATTTCGACCAAAAGACAATGTCCGCCTTGGGAATACCTGTCTGTTGCACGAACTGGGTACGAGATATCCAATCGAGGAAATCTCTGTAAAAGGCAAACGACGGCTGACGTGGACCATACATCTCCGAAAATTCATATGAAAAGGTTGTAAAGCCAGGCCATGTCGTGTTTCCATAATTACCCGAGTAAGGGTATCCGTGAAGCACAAATTGATTGACCGAGCCGGCAAAAGAACGCTTCAGTGTCCACAAAAGCTCGGGTATAGGCTCCTGGTATGCTTTCGCCATCTCTGCGCCAGCCTCGTTGGTAATGATGCGCTTCCCAGCAAGGTGCGCGGGGCCTGAAAATTGCCTATAGCTGTCGATGCTGTCCCTGAATCCTAGGGTTTCGCACTCGGGTCCGTTGACATAGGGAACATTGGCAAGCATATCCATTGGCAAGTTGTAAACCACCTGTGCTGAAAACTGAATACCAAGGTCATTGCTCCACTGTGTTAGAGAAGTGAGATACTCGGCGTTCAGTTCCGTAAGCTACGCAAGTCAACATCTAATCGCTTTCTCATATAACAGGAGGCACACGAACTGTTTGCTGATAGTCCACTGTATGGCTCGAGCCTGCATCAGGCTCATCAGTAACATAGGTCATCTGAGGAGTCGACCCGCCGCCGGAGCCGACCAGAATCGGTATAAATCTGTTGATACTGTAGCCTCGATTGGTTTGGAACACCTCTTGGAGGTGCGGGGTCCAGAATGTGGATACGGTGTATTCCTGGCTGTCTTCCCAGAGGTAATTACCCACTTCACGAATCAGTGCGCCTGTTTCACTGTCCAGCAATGACTGTTTCCAGAAGTCTATAACTACCAACGCGCCTTGGGGCGAGAAGTGATCGACCACCCATGATCCGTTCTGTGCGTAACTGGTGATGGGTGACTGGGGGACAGCGGTCGGAAGGTTAGCAGGACTCTCGACCTCTCGATACTCAGAATGCACTAAATAGTAAGCGAAGATGAGCTGCTCGGAACTATCTGCAGTCTTGTTTGCCTGTATCTGAAGATGGCCGTTTGATTTGACGAGATGTGTCACATCTAACAGAGAGCTTTCCGCAAGCACTTTGTATGTTTCGTTGCTCGAACCAGTCGAGCTAACGTGAGCGGTAACAGCTGCAATTAATGGCCCTGCACCCCATCCTGGAATGATGCTATCGAAGCCTTTGTCGCTGGGAAATGTCGAATTGAACCCGGGTAAGTCCCAAAGAAGGCCATCGTCGTTATATGGCGCTGGGACACCGGCGCCTTGGTTTGGTCCCATTGCCAAGTCCACGAGTAAGTCGTATTTCTTTGCTGTCACCAAGATGGTGTCGGCCAGACTCTCTGGCTGATATATTAGCATTATCACCACCGAACATAGCGTTGATAAACTTACTCCAGGCAGGGCTACCAAAACCGAATATAGTCCAGTCTGACTGCAGAGGACATTGCATTTGTGCCCCATAATTCAGCGTGTCTCCATAAAGATAGTAACCGAGTAACTCAAGCCCCCCTACCCCGGATTCACCCATAGCCTTTACATCCTCCGCCACCACGCTCAGGTTTAAGGACGCATCATTTACCCAGTAGCGGAATCGTGGTCTCACGTTGGATGAAGGATCCTGAAAGGTGCCATAATCGATGTCAGGTTCGACTTGATCATTAGTCCCGATAGTCCACACGGCCTGAGCAAGAAAAGCAGTATTTATGAGAAGATATGGCAAATGCATAGTCCTCGGTTTTGGCGATCTAATCCTGTCTCTGGTGTGGATGGCACAGCACCTGAAAACTATACATCATACTACTAGTAGATATACCTTTGATAGACCGTCCGCACAGTGCGACTCTGCCGCATCTGATGAGGGGAACGCTGGCTCGGTGCAATGCTGAGCCGAAATTGAGGAGTCATGCTGAAGATCTTTGGATGATGACTTGCTCGGCAATGCATAGAGCTTAAGAGGGGATCGAACTGCAGTGTGATAGTGGGAGTCGTCTTTGCAGAGAGCTGAGTAGTCGAGGAGCGTGGCAGGTTTCACCATTTTCCACTGCCGTATGAAAGAAATACAGGTCGGTCTGATTGTAGCCGATCACAGGAAGTCGTATTCGTACAGCTGAGGTGAAATAGTATCTAGGGTCGGAGACCCTGCATTCGGCCCCACTAGTGCGGGGCCCCGGGCATTCCGACAGAAAAAGAGGAGGAACATCTGGAGTCTAGGATGGCTTGATGCTGCAGGACCCCGCAGCGATATTATCACGACTTCACAAATAGTTTGCGAGGAGTCCAAAGCAAATGAGGGGGCAAGTCCAGTGTATGTACACTTGTGATGATCTTCAGCACCGGGGAAATTTCGGACCCGCCTGTGACCGAGTCCACATGCCAAGTCAACGGTGATGCTTTTCCTCTTGACAAGAAATGGCCCATTAGTATATAAGGGGCTTCACATGCATGCAACAGTATCTTAAATACTTGGGGAATAGCTTTCGGTTGAGTGGCTGTGCTTTTCAGGCGCTTTTTACCTGGTACCTTGAACCTCGCTGTTTTCAAGGAGCCATGGGTAAAACCTCAAGCAACGTGTGGCATGATGGAAAGTCACAGAGACTATTGTTGGAAGAAATCGGTTAAAGCTTGCCTAGTTGTGGCTTCCAGGGTGTGAAAGTGACTCAAATATGCCTCGATGCACAAGTTCACCCAATAACTGTCTGTGACATGACACAGGACTAAAAGTGATGAAGCAACACCGCGCTGAGAGTCTTAACGGCCCTATATGCAGCGATAGAATGAAATGTGGAATCTGCACACTCGTAGAGGAACCGTAACAACTGGTGATCATTCATCGAGGCTAGGACTTTTCAGGCGGCTTGAAGCAAGCAAGGGGACTTGACCATTCTGTATATCAAGCCAGATTGGCTGAGTGACATTACAACTTCAATGTAAATTAATATGATAGAATTTCACATCACTGTAATAGACAAGGGTGCTGAGTAGTAGGTAAAGATGCTACCAAGTAAGATACCTAGAAAGTATAAAGGGCCAGGTGTACTAGTAGTATGGGCTGATCGATCGGCAACAAATTGACGTGCTCTGATTGGTTGGCGAGGTCTCGGCCTTCGGGCTTCCGAACGCGAGACTCGCCGAATTCCAACCAGAAATTCTGGCCTGGCAAGCCTTGGACAGCTTCATTCTCTCCTCATCCGCCCATCATGGCATCCTTTGGGCCTTCCGTGCCCTTGCTGCGAAGCCTGTCTCCCCGGCTGTCGAGGGAGCTCTTCACCTGCCGCCAATGTTTGGTCCGTACCCAGAACTTCGCGACTAAGTCCGCCTTCCGCAGACGATTCTCCGCCTTGCCCTTCGCCCAGAACACCAACAGCAGAGCCAACTCTGCCCTGCAGTCCAGGGCGAGAAAGCTTTTTGCGTCCAGTCTGAGAAGAAACGTCTCCGGATCAGCAGCACCGGAGGCAATTGCTGCCCAGGAAGGAGCCGCGAAAGCCAAGTCTAGCTTTCCGGATGTGAGCGATAAGAAAGTGGCCTACTGGCTGCTGGCCAGCGCGGCCAGTGTGTTTGGCATTGTCGTTTTTGGCGGCCTTACCAGACTGACTGAGTCAGGGTAGGATCTTCTCCTCCATTGCTAAGTTGCAGACCAATGCTAACGCAGCCATGTTGTAGTCTGAGTATCACCGAATGGCGCCCTGTCACCGGATCCCTCCCCCCAATGAACGCCGAAGACTGGGAGTCGGAATTCTCCAAGTACCGTGCCTCTCCCGAATTTCAACTCCTGAACCCGCATATGACACTCTCCGAATTCAAGTCGATTTACTACATGGAATGGATCCACCGTCTTTGGGGCCGCTTTGTCGGCCTGTCGTTCGTGCTCCCGGCCGTATACTTCGTTGCCACGAAAAAGGTCAGCAAGCCCATGTCTCTGCGCCTCGCTGGTATTGCGGGCTTGATTGGATTCCAAGGTTTTATCGGTTGGTGGATGGTCAAGTCTGGTTTGAAGGATGATCTGTTTGCTCCCGGTAGCCACCCTCGTGTCAGCCAGTACCGTCTGACGGCGCATCTGGGTGCAGCTTTCGTCTGCTATACTGCTATGCTCTGGAATGGACTTGCCATTCTGCGCTCCCACCGTCTGCTCGCGGACCCGGAAGCTGGAATTAAGCTTCTGGACTCGCTTCGTGACCCTAAGCTCAAGATCTTCCGTCGCTCCGTTGCCGCTTTGGCTGCTCTGGTTTTCGTGACTGCCATGTCGGGTGCCCTGGTCGCTGGCCTGGATGCTGGTCTCATCTACAACGAGTTCCCGTTCATGGGTAATGGCCTGGCTCCTCCTAAGTCTGAACTGTTTGATGAACGTTACTCTCGCCACGAGGACCGGTCGGACCTTTGGTGGAGGAACATGCTGGAGAATCCCTCCCTGGTGCAACTGGACCACCGCACCCTGGCCATGACTACCTTTACGAGCATCATGGCTCTGTGGGCCTACACTCGCAGATCTCCCACCATGAAGCGCCTCTTACCCCGCGCTGCAAAGAAGGGTGTTCACGGTGTGGTCGCTTTCGCCTGCATGCAGGTTGGTCTTGGTATCTCGACGCTTCTTTACCTTGTTCCCACGCCTTTGGCCTCTGCCCACCAGGCAGGCAGTCTGTTCCTTCTTACCTGGGTGCTTGTCTTGGGAAGCCGTGTCTGGCACCCGTCTAGGACGGCTAAGCTGCTTCAGATGGCAGCCAAGGCCCGTGGACAGGCTCTTGCTAATGCCGCGGCCCATGCTCCCCGGAGAGTTTGAGGGTCAACCGTGGAATATGACGAACAGGCAGGAGTTCTGGACTACATCTACATGTTTTATACTGCCACGGAGTGGCCCTGTATGTCTACTAAAATCTCTACTTCACGTATTTGTATAATATGATCACATACCACTGGATTTGCCTCTGGCGTATTAGCTCAATCATGCCATAGTAGTACCCACAATCCAATTTCTGCTGGCGTCGAGCGACAGACATCCTGGAGAACGGCGGAGGGGATCGGTGCCTACCTTTTCTGGAGTATTTTCCCTCTGATGAAATTCAGCTCTCATCTCTCTCACCGGGATGTCTTTTCTTTTGCCTGTGTTCCACACCCGGTGTGCAAGCCATTTGAGAAAGGAATAACCAACGATTCTTCAGGAGATTGAAGGGAATCTGTGCCACGCCACCATGACACACGATTAAAAGCCGAAAGGCATAAGTTTCTTGCAGGGGCAAAAGTCAAATAACAGCACATCAGCAGATAGTTATCTGTTTGACGTGGCACGTTCACTCCTCACTTGCCCTGTCTGTCTGTTGGGTTTCGAATTCTTCGCGGGCACGTTTGGCCAGGATGAGAAAAGGAGCACGTATAGTTCGTCTCTCTTCCTCAGTGGCAGGGGATCCTATGAACTCTGTAAGAAGAAGTTTCGTTCCAGACCTACATAGTGTCTATCACCTACCACTTTCACTTCTGCGACTAGCAGAGTCTTCGAGCCCCAAAGCATACAGCATCTCCGCACCTTCTGCTGTCTCGGGAGCTCGAGCATCATTCAATATTGCTCCCTCAGCTGCCGGGGACGGAGCAGCGGTAGCTTCAGGCGTTGGTGCTGGTGCTGGTGCTTGACAACGTTGGCGATTTCCCCGGCGGCCTCGTCGGTTTCTCCTCCCCCTCCCTCTATGCTGTTCTTCCTCCCTCCTTCTACTAGTATATATCCATCTTCTGGCACGATTCCTCCCTCTAGTCATTGCCATCCATCCCCCTAGTCTCGCCACTCTCTGTTCATGATCATCAGTCGCCTGGGCCATCAACTCAGTCACATTAACGGGTGAGAAATGCGTCCTGCCTTGGACCCGATGGGTTCGGCGTCCACCAGTTTCGATGGTGCATGCACGACATTCTCGCCATCCACATGATCGACACTGCGACATGGCATTCTGCATGTTGAAGAGGTCGCATCTGTCGCAAACGTCTTCGTAGGCTTCTATGTATCGGAACTCGGTGTGGACTTCTGCGGCTGGGCTCGCCTCTGCGGCGGTGTCGTTTGGAGGATTCGCGGACTGGGGATCCATGGCGATACGAGTAATGATACTAGATGTCTCACGTGTGTTACTAGTTGTAATGGTCGAAGTGTAATTGAGGTACAATTTGTAGATAAATCTCCGAAGTATATATACTTCTTCTCTGCCTTCTAGAAGACTTGTCCTGGAATGAAAAATGTGGGGACGCGCAGCTGTTGCGCAGGGAAATGCCGACGTGATAGAGTTGTACTTTGGGGAGTTTGAGGGTTATGCACAACATGCTCGTTGGGGCTTATAGTCTATTTATCATAATTGAAGGGAAATGAAGATTAGGCTTATTAGGCTTGGAGGGATATTCCAACACCTACAATGTCTCATGAACTGGGAAAAAACCACACAGCCCCTGCCAACCATTTGGGATTTGAACATTGTCTTTCAACTCTAACGGAACTTACAGTTGTTCCACTACTTCATCAATACAGTAACCAGTACTACTAACAACCATTCATTTAGTAGAGAAGTTGCAGCGGGCAGGACGCCCCTTCCAGTTACAGACCAGACGAATAATCATTATCTGTATATCTCTTACGTGAACATACTTAGATCATTACAATGAACATAATCTGCTTCGCATACGTTTGCTTTTTCTACATCTGCTTATAGATAATCCTACATCCTATAGACCCGTTCGCTCCAGTACAGAGCAAACATGGTAGCATGTCGATGCTCTGCCGCCGAACGTGGCTACCAGAACCGTGCGCGTGGCCAACATGGCCGCGCATGATTTTCATACACCACCTGCTCCAGCACCACCCGCTCCACCTGCAGCTAGAACGGCTGCGGCACCACTACAACTTGACAGCACCTGGTCGGAGGCCTTGGTCCGCACAATCAAGCGCTGTAGTCGGCTACAACAGGACCTCCATAACATCGCAGTCCGCATGTCGCGCGTGTCTCGTGACTATGAGATTTTAGCAAGAGAGGTGCATCGGCCACAACTACTCATACTCTTAAAAAAGGTCTGTATACATGCACTGGCTCAGCACGCGGATAATCCGGATGGTGTCGCTGCGGTTCGCCTGGCCATACATACCGCGATCGCTCAACGCAACGCCCACCAGAATACAAACACGAACCAGAATGCCAACGCGCAGAATACCAACACAAACCAGGATGCCAACGCGCAGAATACTAACATCAACCCGAATACTAACGCCCGCCCGGACCAGGCGCAGTAACAGCGTCGGGACATCGCCTTCTGAGAAAGGAGTATTCTACAGCGGGCAAAACACCCCTTCCGGTTACAGACCAGACAAACAATCATTATCTGTATATCTCTTACATAAACACACTTAGATCATTACAATGAACACAATCTGCTTCACATACATTTGCTTCTTCTGCATCTGCTTATAGATAATCCTACATCTTATAGACCCGTTCGCTCCAGTACGGAGCAGAAGTGACCGGCAGGTAGATCTAAGACTCCAGTAACCCTGGACACATACGCCAGGTTACAAGAAAGACACTCGGGGGAAATGAATTGAAGTAGTGAGCTTAGTAAGAGAGAGAATTCGCTATAGTTAGCAAAAAGGGAGTATATACAGACCAAGCATGATATCAAATCTCTCTACTGTCTAAATGGGAACTTCCCCCAAGGAAAATCCCGAACCATCATCACTATAATTCCTCTACGGAAACTGCCACATATAACAACTTTACACTTGTAGCAGTCACATACTTATTAGTTAAAGCTCCTTCTACATTACTTCTCCTGTTATTGAAGTAAATGCCATACATATCTGCCTAAGGCATCCATATAGAGGGAGGTAAAATGATTGATGGCAAATACCCTTTACCGCTTAACTGACCGCCAGAAGCGGCAGAACCTAGCGAACCTCGATCGAAAAATCTCGGATTTAGCGGGTTTTGGAAACATACAGTTCCCAAATACTCACCTGAAATTCTGTTGAAATCCCGGTGCGGTGTGGCAGGATTCTGGTGGCCTTAGTTCTGAGAGTGAAGGCAGATTTGTATACCGCTTTATACCGCCGTAGTGGGTCCTGGGTTTCCATGACTCGGGCGCTAAACCATATCCGGTACCCATGTCTGTATCTGCCCATCCCTCCCGTTAACTCTACATCAACTTCTATACTATCCAACCCATTTGAGTCTGACGACACAACAACCAATTATCCTCCTACATCAGCAATACAGGTTCCGACCCCGCAACTAATCGTCCAGGCACACTTTAGTCCTTTTCTCACAGTAGACAAGATGGCCGAGGGGTAAGGCACCGCTATCCAGGGTCATTTGACTGCGGTCCCGAAAGGGGATACCGCTCTTGTCCTGCTTGTGGCTGATTTCAACAAGCCATTCTCTCTCTCTTTTTTTTTTTTTTTTTCTTTAATTGACTTCCATGGGGGACATTGCTATATTTAGTGGGGTAAATACTATAAGAGGGATAAGGTAGGCATATAAGAAGAGAAAAAAAAAGATATTTACTACATCTCGCATCTATAATCATTTTATGCATTTCTTCATTGACATCCGAATACCATGCAACTAGTCATCAGAAAATACTAACATCTAATAATCAGTTCGTCACATTTATCTATTTGTGGGCTGTAATCGTCCGTTAGCTATTCGTTTCTTTTCTCAGGAGAAATAAAAATGGTGGACTCACCAATACCCTCCTCAGCCTGAGGCTCAATGCCAACCACCTCCGCGGCGGGCTTGGTATCATGTGCAGTCTTGTCCTCCTTCATGAAGGGGAAGGCCAGAACCTCCTTGATGCTGTAGTTGTCCGTCAAGAACATGACCAGGCGGTCGATACCCATACCCCAACCACCAGTGGGCGGCAGGCCGTACTCCAAGCTGGTACAGAAGTTCTCGTCGATGATCTGCGCCTCGTCGTCACCCTGGTCCTTCTGGCGGGCCTGCTCCTCGAAACGCAGGCGCTGGTCGAACGGATCGTTCAACTCGGTGTAGGCGTTGACAATCTCCTTCTTGCAGACGAAAGCCTCGAAACGCTCGCACAGACCGACGTTCTTGCGGTGGTACTTGGCCAGAGGAGACATCATCTGGGGGTGGCCGGTGATGAAGGTGGGGTTGACGCAAGTCTCCTCGATGAACTCACCAACCAGCTTGTCGAGCATGCGAGCGTTGGTCATCGGGGGAGAGCACTCAACACCGGTCTTCTTAAGCACACGCTTGAGGAACTCGCCGGTCTCGGCGGTGTGGAGCTGGTCACCCGGAGGGAACTTCTCGCCAGTAGCCTCCTCAAGAGCGGGGATCATCTCCACGCGGCGCCAGGGGGCCTTCCAGTTGACGTTGTAGGTCTCGCCAGACTGAGTGTGGAAGGTGGTCTCGTAGCCACCGGTGATGTGCTTCACGAGACCGGAAACCAGCTCCTCGGTCAGGTTCATGACATCGTAAACATCGGCATAAGCCCAGTAGAACTCGCAAGTGGTGAATTCGGGGTTGTGGGTGAGGTCGATACCCTCGTTACGGAACTGACGACCAAGCTCGTACACACGCTCGAGACCACCGACGATCAGCATCTTCAGGTACAGCTCGGGAGCAACACGCATGAACAGGTTCATGTCGAGGTCGTTGTGGTGAGTAACGAAGGGCTTGGCGGTGGCACCACCAGCAATGGCGTTCATCATGGGAGTCTCAACCTCGACGAAGTCGCGGTTATCGAAGAAGTTGCGGACGTAGCGCACGATCTTTGAACGGGTGACGAAGACGTTACGGGACCTGTCGTTCATGATCAAGTCCAGGTAGCGCTGGCGGAAGCGCTGCTCCTTGTCCTGCAGACCGAAGTGCTCGGACGGGATGGCGTGCAAGCAAGGAGAAAGAAGGACCACCTCCGTAGCGAAGATGGACAGCTCGCCGTCGGCACGGTTCTTGGGGCTGGTACGACCGGGGAAACCGACGATACCGACGATGTCACCACGGCGGAGGTGCTCGTGCTGAGCCTCGAAAGGCACGTCGCCAGTGGCGTGCTGAGCCTGAGCGACGACCTGGACCTTGACGCCCTCGGCGCGGATATCGTAGAAGATCAGCTTGGCGCCGGAAGCACGCTTGGTGTAGATACGACCGGCGATGCGGACAGCGACCTCAGGCTTCTGCTCGCCCTTGGCGAGACCCTCATAATCAGTGAGGTACTTGCGCAGATCGTCGGTGACCTGGAACTTGTGGGGGTAGGGGTCGGGGTTCTTGGTCTCGCGCAGCTTGTTGATTCTCTTGCTGCGGATCTCGAAGTATTGCTGTACAGAAATGAGCGGGGATGTTAGCAGAGATGCGACAATGAATCCCCCGACACCACACAAAGAAGCGCCCCCCAGCTACGAATGGGCAAAAAATGACTCACGTTGGGGGTGAGGTTGGCCTCCTCATCCTCGGCGGAGGTCTTCTTCTCGGCCTTGGGAGGAGCAGCGGCCTCCTTCTCCTTCTTCTTGGCCTCCTTCTCACGGTTCTTCTGGCGTCTCTTCAACTCGGACTTGGAGACCTTTTCGCCGGTCACCTCATCGAGGAGGAGGTTGGCCATGGAGGCCTCGGCCTCCTTAACAGCGTTGTTATCAGCCATGGTGATGGACGGGGGTAATTGCTCAGTCTCAATCACCGTGGGAACAAGACGATGAGAAGGGAAAGAAAGGTAAGTGGAGGGATCGATCGATGACACACAAGATGGTGGGCTGAAGTCGGAGGGAGCGAGAATTTTGGGCGGGAGTCGCCGCCCGCGATCCTCATTGGGCACCGCGAGGGGCAGCTTCCCCCCCGCCCAGCCAGTCCTTAAGTAATCGTCTGTTCTTTGGACTCGGCCTCCTGTTTATCATCATTGCGGAAATCTAGCAAAAAGTACCGAGTTTCCCCATTATTTTGCATTCTAGAGCTGTTAATCTTTCTATCTGACATCTCTCCTTTACCATTGGGTACACGCTGCCATACACCATTCGAGTCTATCGCAAGCAGGGTTTAGGGCTTAGGGCATCAAAGTGGGGTTCCATACCCCGCCTCGATGCTTGCGGTCAATCCCTCCATCATCCATCACTATTCCAGCTTCAACTGCATCTTTTTCCAGCATACCCACTCACTTAGTCCAGTTACCATCCTAATACATTTGATCACCAAAGTAGATTCTGTTGTAACCACGCACTGCGGACAGGAAAATGCTCACAACACCTCGTCAAGCTGCAATCAAGTAGTCCAATCGTCGGGAGGCTGGGATTTAATCCTCACATTCTCGAATTGGTCTTCCTGATCATCCTCTTTCCTCGCTAGCTTTAGCCACTCCTGGGCTTTATCGATTCGCTCCTTTTCTCTGAGAAGGAATTGCCGGCGTCTCTGGCGGTCGGGGTCCTCCTCCATCAGCTCTAGGCAACGTTCCAGTGCTGAAGGCAAGAAAATATCTTAGTATATAACTCCTGATAGAATGAGTGAAACGTACCGTTTTCATCGAAGATACAAAGCTCTCTTTCGATCTCCTTGATGAGATCGTCACGGCATTTTGCGAACAATTTAGTGTGTACGCTCTGGCATATTGAATCAACGAACCGCGAACTCGCCAAGTCGTAGTACCCGCGACTCGTCTGGCCAGGGCAGTTAGTTTATAGTCGAGGCTTTGGCATGGGATCAACTTACCGCCATCATGGTCAGCTCCTGCGAGAACTGGTCGCGCCCCAGCTCGGCATCTGTAAGCTTTCGAAGCTCAGCTTCCCGTCGGGCGTCTCCTCTAGGGTACTTTCCCTGAGCATCAAGGTAGGACCCAGCACGAGCAAAACGCCGCCTCTCCGCAAGAAAGCTGTAAGCAGACTTGATTGACTGGTCCAATGCCGAAAGTGCCATGGTAAATGGTTTGTTATACTCAATGCTGAAGCTTTCCTGCGCATGCTCGAAATGAGCAGCTCGTAGCTTATACAAAAAGCTCTCAATGATTCGCTTGAGTTCTCGATAGAGACCCGTCTGATGATATTGCAGAAAGACTTCATTTAGCTGCCTGTGCAGCATCTCCCGGACAAGGCGATAGGTGGCAACCAGGAACACTGACAGGGGGTCGTACCAGTGCTTCACGCTCATCTGGTTCATGATCTCAATGGCTTTCGGGTCCGTCTGATCCGGCAGTCCAGCTCGATACGAATCCTCGTTTATTTCGCGAATCATCTCCCATGTAAACGTCAGGGCCGGAGCGTTGAACTTGGCGAAATGGTCTGTCCAGTACAATCCATTTCTG